TATTTGGATAAGACACCTTAGAAATATGTCTGGGAAGTTCAGTTCTCTAGGTAGTTCCACTTTACCTTAACTCCATTAGCTTTTACTTCAGTAGCAGTGTTTTTGTGGAAGACTTTGGGTTTTGGTCTTGTCAGTTTTGTCACTCACAGGATTAATGTATTTAACAATATGATGGAATTCTTTTAAATATTAGGGCTTAGTTTTGTGTGTTTTTTAAACCCTCACCCAAGGATACTTTTTTCCATTGCTTTTTCAGAGAGTGGAAGGAGAAACACCTTGATTGGTTGCCCCCCCGCATGGGCCCCAACCGGGGCCGGGGTCGAGCCTGCAACTGAGGTAGGTGCCCTTGGCTGGAATCGAACCTGGGACCCTTCAGTCCACAGGCTGACCCTCTAACCACTGAGTCAAACCGGCTAGGGATAGGGCTGTTTTTATTTTACATTTACTTTCATTTCTCATTAATGCTTTCTTCCCTTCTGTTTACGACGTCTCCCGAGTTGTCTGACTTCCTTTTTATATTTCTGTGTTTTGCCATGCTTCCTCTTCTCTCTTCTGCTTCCTCAGAAGATCTTGCCAGTAGAAACTAATAAGGACTGTGTATTTCCAGAATAGTCTTTATACATTTATCTGGTATTTACCGAAGTATTACAAAAGTGGTAAAACTAAGCACTGACAGTGTTTTCCTCCAAGACTTCTAGGCTGGGGTCATATTTTTTGTCCCCTGAATAAGGCACCTAGACTATTTTATGTATTTCTCTTACATTACCTAAAATATCACGGCATTTCCCAAAGGGTTAGTCACCTGCGTGAGATTCACCTGGCTGCTGGTAAGAATGCATATCCATAGGCCTGACCCCAGACCTGTGGAGTCAGAATCTGAAGAAGCCAGGAATCTGGTTTTATTCCTCTCATGTGCTGAACTTTTTCCTGTGCCTTGGCCTGAATTTTCAATCACTGCCTGGATATACTTACCTGAATGTATTTTTATCCCATACTCACACAACACATCCAAAACTAAACCACCTATGGGCTGTTTCCAATTCTGTCCTCACGCCATTATCCCTGGAGTCATCTCTGGAATCACTCCTCTTCGCATTCCATCATTTTTACTTCATCAGTTTGTTGGCCTTTGTACCAAGGACTGAGAAAGACAGTGATGAGCACAGACATGGGTCATGTCCTCAAGGGTTGCAAAGATTCTTTCATAGAGTAACCTACTCCTATAGATTCTTTTGTGTTTTTCTCAGGCTACTCCCTTTCCTTGTCAGCACCCTGATCTAAAATCTCACCACTTATGCTTGGACTGCTGTAATTTTTTCCTAATTAGTCTCTTTGCTCCTAATCTCCCATCTCTTCTGAAAGATTAATCTGCTGAAAGCTTAATCTTCAAAACACCACTTTGAATATAGTTTACCCCCACTTACTGTCTTCATTGTTCCTAATTGCTTACAGGCTATTTTCCAAAGCGTATTCAAGGCTGTTTACAACCCGCCCCACAAATGAATTTTTCCTGAATAAACTCTTTACCCCTATCAAATAGACATCTGAACTTAATGTAGGTATTTTTACTTATTTTCTGAGCTTATGACTTTAATCAAACTGATTGACCAGACCATACTTTTCTCTCTTAAGGCCTAACTTTCCCCCACCAGCACAGCTGGCAACAGCACTTGTTCTTGCTTCAGCTCCTGTGGTGACTCTGTTTTCCTAATTAAGCATTTTGCATGTGATCCTTGGTACTATTACGTCTTTATTTGCTTTCCTATTTCTTCAATTATATCATAAACTTCCTGAATGTGGGAGCAATGTTTTATATGCTTCATTTACTTATGCACTCCTTCATCAAAAAACTGAATGGCCACCGTGAACCAGTATGGTCCCATCTTTCATGGAGCTTACAATTTAGTTGGAAAGGCGTATTTTCAGCAAATAATTAAAATGATATCAACTGCTTTATTCATTTGTTAGTCAAGAAATATTTGATAAGCAGCTATCACAGGCCAGGTATTGTTACATGCTGAGACTACGAAGTTGAAGCAGGTAGGCTGGTGGTGGTGGAGAACCATAAACAAACCACTAAAACGCAATGTTATAAGTGCAAACGAAATATCCTAGGCGCACATAATGAAGGTGAAACTATCTCTGTCAAGGAGTAAGGCAGGCTTCACATTTCAGGTGGGTTTTTTGGTTTGTTTTGCCCNAGGCACAGAGGGAGTTTTCACCAAGAGAACACAAATACGAATAAACAAATTCGGAAACAGGAACGTACCAGGCCTATTTCTGTTTTTTTGCCCCCCCCCCTTTTTTTTTTTTTTTTTGTATTTTCAGATGGGTCTTGAAAGTGACTATGAACATGGGTTGGATCATGCAGTGTTCATACAAGGAGAGTGGTTCTTGGAAAGCTGGTAAGGCCGTTCCTATATTATTCTGAGAAGAAACCCGAGCTGGGGACGGAGGGTGAGCAGCTAAGGCAGAGTCGAGGCGGATGGCAGCCTCATGGTGGCTCGCTGCCCGGGCCAACCGCTAGGTTTTGTTGCTGGGCCTTCATTCTAGGCCTTTCCCTGGCCCTCCTCCCTCAGCGTGGATAGATGTTACTAGGGAAAGGCTCTCCTTGCCCTACAGTGTTCAGAGCTCGTGAAAATTAAGTTAGGGGTCTTTTCCCTCTAGAATCATACCACGGTAACAGAAAAAATACCAGAAATCACCCAGTTCAGTTTCTAATTTACATCCCCGAGAATCTTAGGGATTCTCAAAAAGGCAAATGAAAATCCGTAATCAGGTCTTACTATTCCAACAAGCCTACCAGAAATCGCACATATTTTCTGGTGGTTTTAAAGGCCAGGCGTCCTTGTTCTGTGCTAGAATTCTATCAGATCCACACGAAACCGGGGTCGTGACTGAGCTGTGCTCTGCTTAAACACGTTTTCCCATCGTTGATACGGTTCATTTGGTAAATAATTTTTCCAAATGCAAGAGTGAGCTCACGGTCGAGCCCACAGACTTGGTAACATGAGCTACGGCGTTTCCCACTCACGAAGCACTGCCGACGGGCTTCACCTTTCTTCCTCACGATCCTGTGCAACGGCTTCAAACGCCAGAGCCGGGAGTCCCTGCCTCGCAGCCCAGCGCTCCCTAACTGCTCCGAGGTCCTGGGTCCCTGCAGTGCGTCCCGGGCCACAGGGGCTTCAGTTCCCTCCTCGGAAGCACCTGTCGCGCCTCGGCCGCCGGTC